AGCGGAGGGCTCGCGTGTGCGGTTTACACGGTCACCGCGAGATCAGAATTCGAAATCATCGATCGCCCTTGATTCTCGTTTGATTCCGTGGAAGCGTGTCAGCGTGAGACGGGATCACTCTCGAGAGAGAGATATACTATCGGAGAATCAAGGAAGGCGCGTCGCCTTGGAATCGTCACGCAGAACGCTGGCAACTCGCGAGCTGAGAAATGAAATCAGGGTCGCATGCGCTCCACACCGTCTTTATCGGAGGGGAAATGCGTGTGCATCGGTGGAAAAGGACAAATAGGAGACGAAAAATACGACTGCGAATGTGGCACGTAGCCGAGCGCGTCGCAAAAGCAGATGTTTGGCGCGACGTTTGGGCCTCGCTGGGAAAGAAACAATAAAATTACATAACACGCACGATATCGAAGAGCGAGAAAGAGTGTAGATTTTATTGAGCCCTGGGAGTATCCCTATGTGTGGCTTAAGGGGACTGGAGAGTCAGATTGCCTGAAAATCGTGCTTGTTTCTTTACAATTTTTCATGACAAACTGAATCAATATGCGAAGGTGTTGTTTTGACGTGTATTTATATAACATATAAAGAGAAGAAAAATATAATTTTGATGATCAAATACTCAATATAAGTGTATGGTACATGCAGTTAAAATATATTTCGTTTTGCTTTTCAAGGTCGTCATTTTGCAGTAATATCTTGACTCTCGGTGGTTCAATTAAGCTCAGTTTTAGGTAGAAAATTTGCGTAAGCTTGTTATCGTTATCGTGTGAACCACTATAATAGAAATTGAGTAAAAGTTAACAAAATTGCAAATATCTTAATGGAGTATTATTAAATTTTCAGTTCTTTTACAGTAAAAAAATTAATATTTCAAAATTAAATATTTTCACGAGTTTGTCAGTGGTTCACACGATAATGGCAAGCTTGCGGAAATTTTCTACCTAAAATTCAACTTAATTGAACCACCGAGAGTCAAGATATTACTGCAAAATGACGACTTTGAAAAGAAAAACGAAATATATATTAACTGCATGTACCATACACTTATATATTGTATAAATACACGTCAAAATAACACTTTCGCATATTCATTTAGTTTGTCACAAAAAATTGTGAAAGAACAAACACGATTTTCAGGCAATCTGACCCTCCAAGTCCCCTAAAGGGGATGCTGGAGTCAATGACAAACTCGTACAATGCCGATAATGCAGAGACAATTGTCGCTAACATAATCACGCTGTTCTCTTTGTATTTCTTGTATATACAAAATTTACATAAATGTGTGTTGCTTTGTTTTACCATATTTAACGGAAAACCTAATCATATATGTATAGAAATATTTCTGCAAATATTTTTCGATATTCTTAAACTTCCAAATGCAGATGCGAAGGTAGAGCAATATTCTTAAAAATTTTTCTGTTTGGAGCATCCACATTTTCGATATATGTACAAGCTGCGGAACTTTTGGATTAGGCAAATATTACATTAACTAATAGGTTGAGATTTTGCATTAAAACTTATTTGTTCGTTTTCGTCATATATCGAGCAATGCTTCTATTTATTTTTACACGTACGTTCATTGCGTAAAAACACTTGTAATTCTGTCTAACCAATACGACGTAAACTTTGCAGAAAAATGTCAGTCAGTTTTATCGGTAGTTTTCAGCTTCAGCGTCCCCTTAAATGATACAAAAATAAAAATGAATTAAAAGCTTAAGTAACACGAGAATGAAAATAACTGCTAAATTCGAAATTTAAAGAGAAGAGTGAGAATTATAACCAGAATTATAAACAAGAATGATCAGCTTAGAAATTCTTTAAACGTAGGAATAGATTCGCACACAGAGTTCATAACGATTACTAACTCTAGAAAGACAGAGAAAAGAGAGGGAGAAAAGAAGCCTATTGTATCGCGAAAGAAGACGAGTCGCGATCAATAGTTGATAAAAGTCAAACGAGTCTCGCGGTGACCCGACTATACACGCGGTCAAGGTGGCGGTTTCGTAATTCACCTGGGCGCCTTCGCACCCGGCATGCCAATTACACGGCGACGCTCTCGTCTTTTTCTTGTTACGCGTCGAGATAACCCACTTTCCGAACGAACAGTCGCCGCCGCCGTGTTACCGGTCGGGTGGCGACGGCGACACGCGGATTTCTTTTACTTCAGTTTCCTCTTTTTTTTTCTTTTATTCCAGCTAATTAGCTCCTAACCCTCGGCGACGGCTGGCTGGCTGGGCAACCTTTAACCAGACTCAACCTTCACCCGGAGATTTCTCTTCGGCGCGCGCGCGCGCGCGCACGTAACTCGAATTTTCTAGCAACTTATCCGGCCGCTCGGTATTTGTCATTTCTTTCTTTCGGTAAACATTACGGTCATAGACGCCGCGACAGTGACGAAACGCGCCGCGAGAGATATTGTGGTAAATGTTGTTTAAGTGCGCCGGTTGTTGCGTGTGCGAATTCTATCAGCGTGAAAAGGCCTGTCCGAGGAAAGGCGAGGACCACACGCGAAAGCGCTCTACGAGACGGTCCCGTGTGTACAATCTCGACTCAATTCTTTGTATTCGTGAGTTTATAACTCGCGAAAAAGGACTGACGAGAAAAAAGTTGCTAAAAGCGTTGCGTGCACACGAAAAAATATTCTACTGCGTCTATTCAGTTCCTTATCTTTCTCTTTAGTACAACAGTTGTCTTCAGCAAAAGAATGTCTTCCTGATAACAGTCTTTAAATATATTCATTAGACATTTTAGAAAAGTTAACTCTCTTAACTCATTAACACCCAAATGTGCTGAAATTTTATGTTAATTTGAGCCATTTATTTTACTACGGAAATGAGGTCTGTTGTTTATAAAAAGTACCATTCCTACCAATTTCGATGCCGCTCTATTGAATAGCGTTGAGAAAATTAAAAAAAAATCGAAGTTTATGCAAAATTTTTGCAAAATAAAATTAAAAAATATTTTTAGGGTTATTTTTTTTTCCGCTATTTTCCCCATAAAAACGTGCTAGTATCGCTCGAAAAGTGTATAAAACGTGTTCCCAATACTTTAACTAAAAAAATATGCCATGGGTATTTTTTTTCAACAAACATAGCGGTACCAAAATAGCGGTCGACTTGAAGCGTTTAATTCGAATTTTCGTTTATATTTGGTTATCGAAATTGTTTTAGGGTCAGTATTATTACAAAATTACATAGCAATTTATATAGTAATTACATAGTAAAACAATTTCGATAATAAAATATAAACGAAAATTTGAATTAAACGCTTCAAATCGACCGCCATTTTGGTAAAGCCATGTTTGTTGAAAAAAAATGGCATATTTTTTTAAGTTAAAGTATTGGAAACGTTTTATACACTTTTCCGAGCGATACTAACACATTTTTATGGGGAAAATAGCGGAAGAAGAAAAAATTAGCCCTAAAAACATTTTTTAATTTTATTTTGCAAAAATTTTGCATAATTTCGATTTTTTTTTAATTTTCTCAACGCTATTCAATAGAGCGACATCGAAATTGGTAGGAATGGTACTTTTTATAAACAGACCTCATTTTCGTAGTAAAATAAATGGCTCAAATTAACATAAAATTTCAGCACATTTGGGCGTTAATGGGTTAAGAGAGTATTAAAAAAATTAATTCCTCTTTTGAGTGCATGAGCTTTTCTAAAATGTCTAATGAGTATATTTAAAGACTGTTATCAGGAAGATATTTTTTTGCTGAAGACAACTGTTGTACATTTTTATGGAGAAAATAGCGGAAGAAGAAAAAATTAGTCCTAAAACATGCGTTTTTTTATTTTATTTTGCAATAATTTTGCATAAATTGCATATTTTCTTTAAATTTTCTCAACGCTATTCGATAGAGCGAAATCGAAATTAGTAGGAATCATATTCTTTATAAAGAACAGACCTCATTTCCGTAGTAAAATAAATGGCTCAAATCAACGTAAAATTTCAGCGCATTTGGACGTTAAAGTGAATCAGTGAAACATCATTGAAAGCAGTAAATATATATTGATTTGCAGCTATAAGTACAGCACTGAAACTGCTCAGTGTTATAGTTATAACTGATATCAGTGACTATTCACTGATTCACTTTAAAAGAGTAGGATATTATGCAACTTTACCAAAGAAAAAGTTGATTCGATCTTATTTGTAACAAGCAAACCGAATTTTTGGTTCAATTTAATATTCTTCATTAAAATGTTAAACTTACTAGAATTCAAGAAGTATTTTAAATAAATTATATGCTCATTGATGAAATTATGTTGTTTATGTGTCATTTGTGTTTCTGAGCAATTATCAAGTAAAAAGAGAAAGGAGAATAGTATAGATTACAGAACATTTCAAAATGCTTCAAAATATCTGATGCTTTTCTGAAATTTAAATTTCAGAAATTTCTGAAATAGAAATTTCTTTTTTAATTATTAATTTTTCATTAGATTCGATTGATCAACAGTCGAGGCGGCGAGCGGATCTAACACTGAGAGAAAAATCTGATATCTGATGCTTCAAAAATCCCCTTAGTTTCCCTCAAAAATCCCCTTAGTTTCCCCCAAAGAAGAGAACATGTATGCCCAAAGTGACGCTAGCGACGCTAGTTGTTCATTTGGAAAAAGAAGTCGACATTTTAATGAGAGATATGCGATTGAAACGATACGAGGAGCCTCTGGTTTCAACATATCGCTGTTCTAAAAATTTCAGGACTGCGTTCCGTTACTTAAAAGATACCTCAACGTCAGGTTATACCACAGCGATGCGCGCGTGTATTCTTGTCCCATCGAGAAAGTCCGCTGAAGTTGGCGTAGTGTTTTACGTGCGAAAACAGACCGAACAATCACGAGGATCCGTTATGGCGCACATTATCACAACACCATGCTGACTTAGCAGCTAACGCGTAAGTCACGAGTTTCGCGTGACACACACGACTGGTCGGTCTGCACGAGGCGAAATCGTAGCGACTGACGAAGGCGTAAAAGAGAGTCTCAGGACTTACCGGCGTACGTGCTCTTGAAGCTTTCGTGGAGCTTGAAGGTGAAGGGAATGTGGACCTTCATCATCTCCATCTGCGGTATTCGCGGTGTGTGCGTTATCACGCCTCCGCTGCCGCCGAACATCAGGTCGTCGCCGTGGACGCGGAGCACCATCATATTTCTGCGCAAATTAGATATTTCCTTTTTAATTATTCATTTCTTATTAGATCCTAACATCCTACACTGAGAGAAAAAACATCTACAGTCCGTGTCAGTAGTCGTTACTTGAAACTTCTCGCAAGCGAGATACCCAAATTTGAATTCAGAGTGACAGATGAAAGTTCTTCAGTTGAATCACGATTGCAGATATACTATATCATAATTCAACTGGAAAATTTGTATCTAATTCTGAAGAAAACTCTGAGTATTTCACATAAGATGAATTTTAAGCGACAACAATTAATGCGGCTTTAAAAAATGCAAAATATTTATTCGGTAGGCATTAACAACGTATTCACTTACTTATTCTAACATAAAATATTCATATAAGCACAATTGTTTATTCTACTTGAATTTATATTGAAATATGTTATCAGGTTTATTTTTTACTTTCTTCTTCTCAGTGTATATGTGAACGATCTCATGTTTCGAGATAGAATAGTCAGGCGAATTTGATAAGATAATATTAATGCTGACGAGTAATTCTCACTAAGTGATACAAAGATTTCGTTTATCTTTTGTGATTTAGCCCGAAGGATTTATTTACGCTAACTAAAAGTAGCTTAAAATCAATTTCAACGAATATATAAGGTGTTTGAATATCCAGTACAGTGGCAGTCGCTTAATCGCCGAACAACGAGGGTATTTACGCTTAGTTAATTAATCGCGCGCGCGAAGGCCAGCTCTTTTGAGAGTCGACTGGAGTTTTTTTTTTTTTTTAATCAATCGCGAACAAGAGGCGACTTGCGACCGGGAACAATCGCGAAATATAATATAATAGCTAACGCGGCGTAATTTCGATTTAACGTCTCGATGACGCGACTGTGCAAATATTAAAGCGATCGTTCACAGTTAGACGACGCGATTATCATGCAAGCGGCCTGCCGGCCGGAGCCGAGCCCGGCTGTCAGTGACCTTGCGGCCTTGAGACGCGAATACGTGCGTTTGTACAAAAAGTCAATCGACGGAATCGAGGCGAAGCGCAACCGGCAGCGACAAGGACTATTGTCCTGGCCGCCTGCTGCTTGCACAGGCGACGGTCGCGACAGCGAGACACGAGAATGCGCGTTAATTGTCGCGGCTAAAATCGGCTCCCGACAAGCCCGTCTCGTCGTCAAAGCGACGATTTCTCGCGCCGGGAGCCAATTATGTGCCCCGCCGGCGGGCATCAATGAAAAGCATGAAAGAAACGAGGCTTGACGAGAAAAAAGTGTAGGTGTGAAGAAGGAGGAAAGGAAGAGACACACCTAAAGGGGGTTAACCCTTTCAGGACGGGGGGTCGCTCGAGGAGATAATTATAAGGAAGTATTCTATGGGTTTTTGGGGTCGTTGAATCCGAATCTGAACTTACATTTTTTAAACTCTGTGATCCAATATGTCGGACCCAATATGGCGGAAAAAATGATTAATATAAATATCACTCAATTTCCGTGAAATTTAAACTATTGAATATTTACATAATTTGGCATCTTGAAAATCGTCACTTTTAATTTTATATTTTTTACTTCAAATTTGGAAAGAGCGCTCTAAAAAACCTCTACATATCAATTTTTGTGAATATCGGATCGACAGTTTCTGAAATATATGCATGAAGGTCGTAGAGCATCAAAAGATGTCTCCCGTCCTGAAATGTTTAAGGCCTAATCAACAATATGCTCTTTGCGTTTTTGTTTTCTGTCTTTTTCTGGCTTAAAGCCTGATCTAAAATATGCTCTTTGCTGTTTGCTTCTTTCTCTTCATCTCTTTCTGACTCAAATCTTAAGCTTTAAGCCAGAAAAAGATAGAAGAGAAGAAACAGAACGCAAAGAGCATATTGTAGATCAGACTTAAGCCTAATCTACAATGTGCTCTTTGCTTTCTATTTCTTGTTCTCTGTCTTTTTTTAATTTAAGGCTTAAAGCTTGATCTACAATGTTATTTGCTACTTGTTTTTTTTTTTCTTTATCTCTTTCTGACTCACACCTTAAGCCTTAAACTAAAAAAAGACAGAGAACAAGAAACAGAAAGCAAAGAGCACCTTGTAGATTAGACTTAAGGTGTGAGTCAGAAAAAACAAGGAGCAAATAACATATTGTAGATCAAGCTTTAAAACTTGATCTGCAATGTGTTATTTGCTTCTTGTTTTTTTTTATCTCTTTCTGACTCACACCTTAAGCCTTAAACTAAAAAAAAGACAGAAAACAAGAAACAGGAAGCAAAGAGCACATTGCAGATTAGACTAAAAGTTTGATATACAATATGCTCTTTGCTTTATGTTTCTGTTTATCTCTTTCTGATTTAAATCTTGATCTTGTAGTTAGAAGAAAATAAAGAATAAGAAACAGGAAGTGCGAAGAGCATATTGTAGATCAGGTTTAAAGCTTAAGGTTTGAACCAGAAAAAAATAAAGAGAAAGAAGCAAGAAGCAAAGAACACATTGTAGACCAAGCTTAAGAATCGGTCGTGACGACAGATACCTGAAATGAAGTAACGAAGGGAAAAGGGGGACACATGGCGCGTCAACGTTGTGGGATGTATTCCTCGCGAGAGTAAGAGAGATAATAGAATTCTGTTGAATAATATATCGGCGCGCAGTCGACGGCGTGCAAGAAGTGTTGGATATTGATCGATGAAAAGTCGATTCGCGTCTGAAGTAATCGGCAAATCAATAATCAAGACTGATCAATCGTCACGAATAATTTAACTAAGATGAGACTAATCGTCAATCAGAGTATAACCGATTAAGTCAAAGTTCGATCAATAATAAATATCACAAATCAATGAAATTACTTGCGATTATTTATTCAAATTCAAATTCGTCGATTAACACTGCCCCCATTCAGCAATCGTTACAATCAATCGTCACATATGTAATCATGAATAATTTAATCGATCAATAAAATTCATTATTAATCGGTGTGCAATCAATTACACCTCAATGACTTCATCAATAATGAAATTCGTCAGTCGATGAAATTGATTTTATACGCGACGACTGATCAATTTCGATCATTGACTCGCCGAATATCTTAGTCCAAGGAAATTTCAATCGATTAATGCCCGACACCGCATGCAGGTCCGCGAAAGCGGCGGGAGGAAGGAGCGGGGCGAGGGGGACAGAGGAAGGAGAGCGAGGCGGTCGCGGCGACGAGGACGACGGCGACGACTCGAGCAGGAGCACAGCTCGCGATTCAGGAGTTTCACGATTTACAAATAGTGCGACGCTTTCGACTTAGTGCCTACTTTCGAGAGAACGCGTCGCGTCGTCGAGAGGCTACCCGGTACGAGCGCACACGAAAGTGGCTGCGTCACCCGAGAAAATCGGAGAGATATTTATCGGTCGTTTCGCGAGTGCGGAACTCCGTCGTCGTCGTCGTCGTCGTCGTCGTCGTCGTCGTCGTCGTTGTCGTCATCGTCTCGGTCGATTTGACGAGGAAGTCGCGCTGTCGAATTGTGCGTGCCGGCAGCGGCGCGTCCTGTGGAATCTCACGCGCGACGCGAAGGATGCGCGGGGAAGGTCGCGATTCTGTTCGCGCGAGTTCCCCGAATACACCCCCTCACCCCGGAGAGTCCAAAATAGAAAACAACGAGGCGCTAGAGGGAAAACGCTGTTCGGAATGTTTCCGTTTTGCACGGATCGACTCTACCGTTATCTCGTATGTGCGACTTGTATGTGAGACAATCGTCGATTAATAAACACTTAACAAACATCCTGCGTCGCTCTGGTCATGCGTATCAAGGCCGATACAACGGGTTCCAATTGCGGGTATCGGCATGAAATTTAACAAGACACAGCTACCGATCGCGTGACAGAATCCACGACAGAGAGGAGAAATGTAAAAAGAAGGAAAAAAAGAGAAAAACAAACAGAAATGCGATGGCATCAACGGTAATAACAACGACGATACACACAACGGCGCGAGCTACACCAACGACCTTTTGCGTCTGTGTCTAAGAACCGCATAACGCGCACGTCCTCGTCGTGGTGGCCGCGAATGGCGCATATGCGCGAGAAGGAGTAGCCGAAGACGCGAGCTACACGTACCTCATGATAAACAGGATGACCCCGCAGAAGCATATCAGCACGGCGAGCACTGAGAAGATATTGGACAGCTCCGCCACGGACACCAGCATCGCCGTCATCGTGTCCCGCGTGTCTCGCGTCGATTCCCGCCGTCCTCACGGGTCCGCCCGTACCCGCACACATGCACGCACACACGCACGCACACACGCACGACGAGTGTATCGCGTTCTCCTCTTCCTCGCCTCCTCCTCTTCCTTCGCCGCCTTCTGTCTCTCCTCTCCGTAGCTCCGTAGCCGTGAATCGTCGGCTCTGCTTTCCACCACCTCGTCCTCGTCGTCGTCGTTATCGGCGACGTTGTTGTCGCTGATATGCTCGATCAAACGCAGGCCGACGACGCGTCCTCGCACTGACGGCAACGCTTGACGCTGTGACACGCGACGCTCGAGACGAGCGACGACGTCGTCGTCGTCAGAGGCACGAGCGCGCGCGCCGTCGACACCTCATCGACGATGTCCGCACCGCCGTTATACAACTTACGCAACCCGTACGGCAGACGACCGTCGGCAACAAGAGAAGGAGACGCGAACTCGCGCGCGTTCCGTACTCTCTGGCATAACCGCCGGTGATCGGCTGATCGGAACGCGGAGGCCAACCTGTGCAGAGGATACAATGAGAGGGAAGAAGATAGATCGTTGGTAGAACGAGTCAAGAACAAGCCGCACGCGACCGACCGACGGAGACCGACTGACTGCTCCACCGGCGCGGCGCGCGTCACTTATACGCGGCTATGTTCGCGCCGCCGATTTCCCCCACCACCGCGCGCTCCCAATGGCGACACCGTCGCCGCTTCGAATCGAATAAATCGCGAGGGATATTTTTCAAGCGTATTATCCCATTTTCAGAAGGATCCGCGAGCATACGGAAGGACAGCGAGGCACGTTCTCGGACGCGAGAATTTATGAGTTGTTTCAGCGAAAATTGAAGCAAACGGAGGCTTCTCTTCGCTTTGACGGTTCAGCGATTTTATCGCAGTGTCCGTGGCCTCCCCTGTGGGGATCAAATGACTCCACGACACACTGTTTCTACTTTTCTAGACGATTCTCTTTAAATATTATCCGGCAAAATCTCTCTCGTCCGATTTCACACCGTCGAAACGGAAGAAATTTATAGGTTAATATTCAGCCGCCTATCACGACGGTTTCCATAGACTTTGCAAACGGAGAGAAGGGATCAGGACGCGAACAAGTATTATGGCATTTCAAGGGACGATATGAGAGAAACGGTTTCCTTTACTTACGATTTCCGCGCAACGGATAATTCCACGCATCAAGCGCGATCAAACGCGATTCAACGGTCAACGCCGTTCAGGGAACTGAATGATCCTTCGTTAGCTATTCGACGCACACTGACAGTTGAATCCCGGGCGTTTGTTGGGAAAAATGCGCGTTTCCCCGCAAGTGCGAACGTCGCCAAGTTACCCTGCCAATTATTTCCGGAACATACAGCGCGCGACCCAACAAACTAGCGACATCTAACCAAACAGTCGCCGCTTGTGGGACGTCTCGATCGAGCTCCCCACGTCGAATGATTAGATTCGCGTATCTCGCGTGTTTGTCGTTCTCGTTGTTGTTCACCGGGCTGCCGCTAACGACAGCAGGAGGGACGGGGATGTCGAAGTTGGTCGCGCTGGATTTCGAAGTGTTCGGCATCGTGCAAGGTAATTAACCTCCGCTCAAAGTCGTTTACCTTGGTTACTCTCCGCTGTCGTTTATCACTTTGCCGGTGCTTTACAGGTGTATTCTTCAGGAAGGTGAGTAGAGCCCGGCGCGAGTCCAGCGAAGGTTTCGGCGATTAATCACCGGAAACGGGATCGACACTGCGCGCTCGCAAATGTCACACTGCGGGACCTTGAAACTTGTCGCCTCGCGACATCTGCCGGATAGTTGAGTCACCGCCAGTTTGCTTTACCGACCGTGGACACTCATGACTTCCCCTTTTACCGACATTCCCTTTGCGATCGACGTGTGATACTTTATAACCTTTTTTATCATGCCGTTAGAGTTGGAAACGACGAATGCGGTTGAATTTTAATCTGTACATGTTTTGTTGAGTGTGAAATCGGGAAAGAGATTTGTAATAGAATAGAGAATAGTTAATTGAAGATAGGAAAGGAAAAGGGAGTTAAAAGCCTTTCGCTACTTATCACGTAGTGACGAGGTTTTGATTTATAATGTCAGAAGAGCGAGGAAATGCTTGCCCAAAATTTCTGCAAGATACGTCGAAATAAAAAGATATATATGTTCAAAAATGATACTTACAATCGATTAAATACATTTCTAGAATACTTCAGATTTTCCTTTTGTTCTAAATAATCATAAAATTAACGAAATAAGGAAATGTAGATTGAAAAGGAAGACTTCCTAGATAACATCCCAAGGAGCGCTAATACGCGTACAATGCGCTTTAAATGTGCATTTTAATTAACATTAAAAGCGCATATTTGTCCCGCATTAAATTCGAATTTAATGCACATTATGGCAACGCATTAAAAAAAATATTTTTCGCGTTCCTTTGCTGGTATCTTGCGAATTTGTGTCTCTATAATGTTTCTGCAACATTGCATTGCAATATACAATATTGAAACAGTAATATTGCTGCAAGCGTCTGTGCTGTATGGGTTGTTCTTTCAACATTATTTTTTATTAAATCAATGACAGATCTGTAGTTGAATCAACTACAGATATTTTGTGACATCAACATTTTATTGACGTGAAGAATCTCATCTGAAAAACTTATCTGGAATCCCACTTAAGAAACCTATCTAGGAAACCTAGGCGAAATACCCAGTAGAAATCCTAAATGGGTTTTCAATTAGAATTTTTCAATAAAAAGCGCCCATTCTTATGTTTCAGTATGCATAAATTTCTTAAACTAGTATAGCCACTTTACTAAAAAGAAAAAGAACTTTAACTTTTGTACCAGTATACATCAGTTTAAGAAGTTTTACGAAAAAGAACAGATCTTTTGTAAGCAAACAATAATTTGTAGTTTGATGACTTTTGATTGAATTTTGATTTGTATGACGTAAAAAATTATTCATTCATTTTATAAAACTTGTTATTACGAAATGCGTAATAACATTAATTTGAGTGCATTTTAAACATAAAATTAATCCAGTTTCAAAGCCAATGCAGTTGAATACGCATTAAAAGCGCGTTATACACGCATCGGCGTTCTTTTGGAGCAGAGAATTTAAAAAGAATTCGAAAAGAATTTAGTCGTATGTCACCAATTCTGAGTTTATTTTCAGAAACAAAAAAAATTCTCCAGAGTTCAGTGAAAAGAATTCTTTTTGCACCTAAAAATGAACTCAAAATTGGTGACGTACGACTGAATTCTTTTTGAATTCTCTGCGCTATCTGGGTTTGTTCATTTTCGCTTCTGACGTCATCAATTAAAAGTTTCGCGGCGAGTAAACACGTTTGGAAAATAGAAAAGTGTCATACAGCAAAGATATTCTACTGACCGTTTGTTTGCGAATACAGTATACCCAAAAACGTGGTCAGGAATTGGGCTTGACAGGATGGTGCAGGAACACCCCGGACGGTACCGTCGCCGGCCACCTGCAGGGAGAGAAGAGACAAGTGGAGGAGATGTAAGAACCGTGAATAATTGATTAACGTGAATTCAGAGGAGCTTCACAGATCGTTTCTGTGTGTCGTCGTTTCAGGAAGCATTGGCTTCGTCATACCGGCAGTCCTCAGTCGCGAATCGACAAAGCGGAGTTCCGTAACGAGAAGGAGATCTCGGAGCTGTCGCTCTCGAAATTCGAAATACGGAAGTAGGAGCGATAGATCCGACGACTAAGAACAATCCGCCGACGATCTAGTAGAACCGAATTAAGTCGTCGCTCATGTGATACGTACAAGATCGTTATTTAAATAAATACAATAATAATTTATATCTAAAATTGTACCAAAATGCTCCTTACTGATTCTTGTTTTTCAGGTACCGACAACCAAAATATTATCTCTCTTATATGTGCTTCCATAACTGAAAATTGAAAAGATTTGTTTTCCTTCCAAGTACTAGGTTTGATTTATAATGTCAGAGGAGCGAGGAAATGCTTGCCCAAAATTTCTACAAGATATGTCGAAATAAAAAAATATGTACATCCAAAAATGATACTTATAATCGACTAAATACACTTCCAGAATAGAATCCGGACATTTTCCTTTTGTTCTAACACTCAATAAATAACCATAAAATTAACATAACGAAATAACGAGGAATGTGAGTTGAAAAGGAAGACTTTGTTCATTTTCTCGCTTTTGACGTCATCAATCAAAAGTTTCGCGTTAAGTCGTCATTTAAATCAACATAACAATAATTTATGCCTAAAATCCGCAGTAAAATCCGCGCCAAATATCAGTAACATAACATTGATGTAATAAAAACGTAACAATGTAACTATAATACCGTGTGTTACAACATGTATACGATATTACGACATCGATGTTATGTTATGTTACTTAATATTTATTGGATTGTCCCAATTATCCTATTCTTCAGGTATCGGCACTCGAAACACTTTTATAATCCCTTAATAATCAAGAACGGAAAAAATTGCATGTTTCTCTTCAAGGTACAAAACTTACGTTAGAAACAATTTCTATCCATTATACGTATCTTTAAAAAGATGGATGACGTGTGAAGAGGAGACAGGAGACAATTATCTAACGTTGACTCTTGAAGCGAACGTTAATCATGACTCCTTTTGATATTTTCCTCGAGGAGAGGAATGCATCGTCGTAGCGGTAGCTTTCGCAAGGACATCCAGTTTAACTCCACCATATCGTCCGCATGTCTACTGTATACGGAGTCACAAATGTTTGTATACTTGGATGAGACTCATTAATTTGTACAATATTGACTCGCTAATTTGTTACACATTTGACAAATGTCCTCGCCGTACTGACAATCGTCTTATTTCTCGTGCATGTATCTGTTACACGCTGCCACGCGTCTCGAGGCTGCGATAGTCGCTTTCGACGGCACTCGCGCAACACCATGTAGATGCACGGAGCAGTGGCTGGCGCGTTCTCGCTGGCAGCATCTCTCCCGCGAGTTCTCTCTTCATTAGTCGGCGAACGCGCGGCGGCGAACGCGGTGCTCGATCCACGTCGCCGACGATGATGTGCCTGGCCTCGACTCGCTTGGAATCCAGCATTCGCGTCGCAACCAAGCGTCGGCCCGTCGTTCCCGTTGGTGCAGGCTGATCCTGCTGAACGAATCTCGCGATCGATGCACACAGCAGGATCGCTGCACGCTCGAGCGGCACACAGATCGCCCTGAGAGGAGAACAGATTCGCACGTCCGTGGCGCACGACGATGCGATGATCGGCCAGAAAGTGGTGGGAGAGCCAGCATGAGGTGTTTCCAGAGCTTTTTCAAGCACACCTGGCGACCGCAGCAGGTGCATCAGGTGAGGAGATACAATAGACACGGCGATGATTTCCTTTTCCGCTTGTGGTCGTCGCGCAAACACTCGCTGACGACGGCGATAACGAGCCACATGGCACAAAAATCTCACATTATTTTACATTAAACTTAGGAAACTTTTAATTACGTTGCTAAAGATAGTAGCGATATTATCACGGCCTTTTCTTATGAAATATTTTTTTACGAGACTTTTGATGAACCTTGAAGCCAAACATTAATACAAGGTTTTCCTAGTTAACTCGAAGTTGTCTTGTGCTTAAGTTAATATCATTTCGATAGCTATTAAAATATGACTATCTTGTCGTCTTAAATTGACGTTTTAGCAGTATTAACGTGTTGCTCTCCGATAGAAGAAATTATATTGTATATTCATGGAAAAGAATGAATGTAATTTATTGAGATATTGTAGCAACATTTTAAGTATGATAATATTGACTTTTGTGTTATGTTGGGACCTTATCAAAATAGATCGATCGTCGAATTTCTTCACGTTCTATTTATGATTATCTCGTTGATAGCCGACATTGTATGCGATATGCGCTATCAGATAAGAAGGTACATTTTAATTCGTAGTTTATATCTTAATAGTACACGAGAACTAACGAAATTAAAATACAGCAACCATCGCATTATTCTTATCACACAAGAAAGGAATTTGGCCCCGCGAAACCGTGATAACTCGTCAGAGTTTTCGCGTTCCTCAACTTTTCGACGCACAGTCCCGATTCGTGTCCTTCTTCGCCGCTGAGAACCGGAATGTAATAGCGAATTCCGTCGGACGTACAAAAAGTAAATTGTAAGCGTCTGAAAGGCCGTCGTACGCGAGTATACGGTTGGTTGTAAAACTGCTTAGACGCAAAGCAGCTGGAAGCTCAGCAAACTGCCAAAATTGAGAATCATTACCAACAGACTTGCCCGATAACTATGTTATTGATTATTATTGTTACCAGTTGTTATCAGTATTATTATTACCAGTTGTTATCAGTATTATTAGTATTATTATTTAACATTGCTAATTGTATTATTGTAGCATAAGTCCGTCGGTAACGGATTCTTAATTTTGACAATTCGGTGAGTTTTCAACTTTAGAGTGTCTAAACTGTTTTGCATTCCAATGTATATATAGTTGCATTGATGCTATGCCATTCACCAGATTAATAATCACTAGAAAATTTCGACCAGTCGTGTCCGTTTGTAGCTGATCGTTTTTCATGTCCTGCTTAAAATATTTGATAGAAAATGATTGGATAAGATTGAAATGGATAGAATTTCTATATTGATTTATACGACTTATTATGCACCGAAGCCGTACAATATAGACTTTCTATATATTTTAATCATATTTTATAATATTATTCTTTTCAGTCATCTTGAATATTGATGTTTGTATAATATATTGATATTTCTGAATCATAGTAAATATCGCATTATGTATTTATTATTATTTTATAATAAACTACTTATAATATTCTTTCATAATAATTCTATTCATAATGATGGTTACAAAATGATCAGATAAAAATGAAAAGAATATCTATATAGTTTAATCATATCTTATGATACCATTCTTTTCCATCATGTTGAATATGAAAGTTGCTATAATCAGTTTATATTTATCAATTATAGGCAATACATGGTATATGAATTCACTTACGAAATTTCGTAAATAAGTTGTGAAATATGTGAATCAAAATCACCATAAAATATGATATACGAATTTTTTATCATTTTTTATCCAACATTTTAAGCAGGGTTAAATGTTGATTCATCCGGTAAGCGGGAATGTATCAAAACAAAAGTGACATTTTGACAGCTGGACGACCCATACATACGTGTTTTTATCAAAAGTTTATCCGCTCACGTGTAATGCACAATCAGTAGAAGAAGAGTAAGAATGTTAAAAAAAGATAAGAAATTAATATATAAAATTATAATTATTAAATTATTATTAACACGTATGTATTAGGTGTACAACTTTGCTTCCGCCGTTTTCCTATAGATGGCTTTAGCGGTAAGTGGTGGTCGAAATAAATAGATCATAGACGTCATACAATAAACTTGGGCATCTGTCAACATAACCCCATAGAAACATTAGTCGATTTGTGTCTGCATCATAAAGTTATTCTCGATTGAAAATGTCAGTTTACGAGCCAAATTTTCGTCATTTGCGGGAGGTTTTAATTTTCTGCTTCAATATGAAGAAATCTGCGGCTAAGGCTCATCGAATGCTCTCAAATACTTATAGTGAGGCCGCAATTAGTGAAAGAACATGTCGTGAGTGGTTTCAACGCTTCAAGAACGGTGATTTTGAAGTCGAAGACCGGCATAGCGGTGGAAGAGAGAAGGTTTTCGAAGATGCAGAATTGAAGGCATTACTTGATCAAGACTCGTGTCAAAATCAAGAAGAATTGGCACGATCATTGGGAGTGACTCAACAAGCCATTTCAAAACGCCTCAAAACCATGGGAATAATTCAGAAGCAAGGAAATTGGGTGCCGTACGAATTGAAGCCGAGAGATGTTGAACGGCGTTTGTTTGCTTGTGAACAGCTGCTTGAAAGGCAAAGACGGAAGGGATTTTTGCATCGCATTGTGAATGGGGACGAAAAATGGGTTCATTACGATAACCCCAAGCGCAGAAAATCATGGGGAATTCCCGGCCATGCTTTTACGTCGACGGCCAAACCGAATATTCACGGCTCCAAGGTCATGCTCTGTATTTGGTGGGACCAGCTCGGCTTGGTAGTGTATTATGAGCTGTTAAAACCGACTGAACAATCACAGGCGATCGGTATCGAACGCAATTTGCGTTTGAGCCGAGCATTGAAAAACAAACGGCCGCAATACAACGAGAGACACGATAAAGTGATTTTGCAGCATGACAATGCTCGACCCTATGAAAGTGATCAAGACATACTTGGAAACGTTGAAATGGGAAGTCCTATCCTACCCGCCGTATTCTCCAGACGTTGCTCCCTCTGACTATCACTTGTTTCGATCAATGGCACACGGCCTGGCTGACCAGCACTTCCGGTCTTATGAAGAAGTAAAAAATTGGATTGATTCGTGGATCGCCTCAAAAGATGACCAGTTTTTTCGACGCGGGATTCGTACGCTGCCCGAAAGATGGGAGAAAGTAGTGGCCAGCGATGGACAATACTTTGAATCATAAATGTATAACCAATTTTTTACAATAAAGCCTCGAATTTCGGAAAAAAACGGCGGAAGCAAAGTTGTACACCTAATACGAAACGTCAAACTGTCAAAATGTATAAGTGTGCCTCGACCACAGGAGTGTGGTCACAGCATGCTTTCCTCTCTTCCTCCAGAGAGATGGAATCGACGACACCCGTGTGCGTCGCGATTCGAGCATTTTATTTGACCGTGGAAATCTCGCAACCGGATAAAAGCGACCTTCATGAATAAATGTATTAGTAAGCGGAAAAAAAAGAAACAACACCACTTCAACCGAGCGTTATGCACAAATGACTCATGAATTTCGTCGGTATTATGTAACGTGTACCATTATCACATCAGCCTGCACGCGACCAAGGCCACTGTAGACATTATTATTCCTTTCTTTGTTTTCTGTTAACGATGCAACTTCAATACGCGTGTTATCACGCCGAGTCGACGGATATTCGTCAAAGTTTCGTCGACTGGACAACAACGATCGTGAGCGCGATTTCTGAGCGGTCGAGCTGCTCGCGAAGGACCTTTCCGTCGCGGATCGCGATGACCCTCGCGGTGGCGCGGGGCCTCATCGCGTTAACGACAAAGCGCACTCGAGCGCGCTTCTCTCGTGGGTCCTTACGTCGCGCGAAGTAGCCTGAAAGAGACTGTCTGGCAGAAGTTACGCAAGGTAGCGATTTTTACTATTACGTCGTAATTACGCGGAAGCGTGCGCCGCGTCCTCGACGAAGAGACACTTGTGCTTGCGACTGTTCGTTCTATTTCATTGTGCGCACGTTTTCGTGACGTATCCGCCGTGTAGTTTGCATATAACGCGGGTATAAAAACATGTTTTTGTGTTTCACCGCGTAGTTCCGTCGCGGTGCGCGAAACCGATGTGATCGTAATGTGATCGTAATCCGATAGCCCTTCGTAGTAGAAGGAGGAGAAAGAGAAGTAGGAGAAGCGTCCATTAACCGGCCGATCAGGGGTCGCGGTTGATAAGCGCTGATAATAACTTGCGCCGGGCAGTTAACTGGCCAGTTCCTACAGCGAATCGCGCGAGCGAGCCACGGCGAGCGGCCGACGACGGTAGTCGTCGTCATCGACACGTTCTCCAAAAGTGACGTGGGCAGTTTGCGCGCTCGACCGTCTGAGGAGAGGCAGAGGGAATCGGCCCCCCTCGTGACAGGTGTGACAGCTGGAATCTGAGGTGACGCGATGAAACGTCAAGTATGAGCACGGACGAGCACCGCGCTAAGAAGTATAGATTCGCGCTCGACAATGTGAGTGCTTCCCCAGCTTCCTCCTGCTCCTCGTCCTCGCGCGATCACGCAGCGGACTTGAACGTAGCGCGTCGTCGCGCTCTGCCGCGGGCCTCTTCGTCGGAGTAAGAGTCAGAGAAGTGCTTTCGGAAACGCACATCTTCGTGTCTCTATTAGAAAGTGCGCTCGCAACGCTACGCGATGTACCCGGTGGCTGCTTCAATTTCGACGGTGAAACCGCGGGAGATAAACGGTTGTACGGCTCGCAATATGCGCTGACTGCACTGTTAAATCCGTAGTGTCAAATTATACTCGATTTGAGTTATTTTTAACCATTCCTATAAGTTGCCACTGCTCCTACTAAATATGTCGTTAATTTAACTAATGTAATGGAGTTAAATAATTTAACTTAGGAAATGTATTAAATTTGACTAAAATTTAGTTTATTTTTTATTATGTGCACGTTAATGTAACCTTTGTTTTAGTAAAAAAATGACTTAATAAACCCCTGCACTGTTAAATCCGTAGTGTCAAATTATACTCGATTTGAGTTATTTTTAACCATTCCTATAAGTTGCCACTGCTCCTACTAAATATGTCGTTAATTTAACTAATGTAATGGAGTTAAATAATTTAACTTAGGAAATGTATTAAATTTGACTAAAATTTAGTTTATTTTTTATTATGTGCACGTTAATGTAACCTTTGTTTTAGTAAAAAAATGACTTAATAAACCCCTGCACTGTTAAATCCGTAGTGTCAAATTATACTCGATTTGAGTTATTTTTAACCATTCCTATAAGTTGCCACTGCTCCTACTAAATATGTCGTTAATTTAACTAATGTAATGGAGTTAAATAATTTAACTTAGGAAATGTATTAAATTTGACTAAAATTTAGTTTATTTTTTATTATGTGCACGTTAATGTAACCTTTGTTTTAGTAAAAAAATGACTTAATAAACCCCTACACTGTTAAATCCGTAGTGTCAAATTATACTCGATTTGAGTTATTTTTAACCATTCCTATAAGTCGCCACTGCTCCTACTAAATATGTTGTTAACTAATATTTAACTAATGTAATGGAGTTAAATAATTTAACTTAAGAAATGTATTAAATTTGATTAAAATTTAGTTTATTTTTTATTATGTGCACGTTAATGTAATCTTTGTTTTAGTAAAAAATGACTTAATATTGTTTTAAATAAGTTGATTAGATGTGGTTGTTTTTTTAAACTCATGTTTTGTGTTAAAATAGTAAATTTTGACACACGTCCCTTATAGAAATATCATAAATCATTGATAATTACTTATTTTCAGTATTAAAAATACTGGATAATAAGTAATTATCAATGATTCTTAATATGATATTTCTATAATAGGATGATAGTTAAAAATAACTAAATATTGTTTAACTCAAGAAATTGGTTTAAATTTGACCCTCCAATATTTAACAGTGTGCAAGCGTGCCCCTTCTGTCATCCCATAGCGAATGGTTGCGTTCAGGAGAGAAAACTGCTTTGCAACTGTTGTAAAATTCGTGAATCTGATTGGAGTATGCTTTTAATTTTGGTTAAATCCAAGAGCATGTACGAATCAGTTTCACGAATTTTACACAGTTGCAAAGCAGCTTTCTCTGCTGAACGCAGCCAATGTCTCTATGATTTTCCGCGGTCTGTCTTTTCGTCACACTCGCTTATGACGGACGCAACTGTATTCCGAGAAAAAAATGGTTGATCTAACTGAAATTATAGCTCCTTTTTGGCCCCAACTACATCATTTGGTTGTTTTGACACGAAAATGTCAGTAATAACATGCATATAAGATTTTTAAGATTTAAGATTTTTTTAAGATTATTATGACTAAAACTTTATAGTAGAATTTAATAAACGGACGGTTTTCTTGGCTATGACTTATAGAGAGAGAGAGAAAGTAATTATTTCTCTATATAATTATACCCAGGTAGCACATACATGTATCAGAAACGTTTCTTAAAAGTATCTATAGTTTCAGAACCGTAAAGCACCAATAAGAAACGTCTTAACAAGAACTTCTCTGAAATCTTATTTATGAATCGTTTATAAAACGTTTTTTCAACGATTTTTTTCGCAAAAATAACGTTTTACCTAACGTTTTTTGAGTGGACATTTTTACTCATGAACGTTTCGGAAACGTTATGAAACGTTTTGGAAATAGTTATAAAAGGTTTGGTTCTAACGTTTATAAAACATTTTTAAAATGTGTGTGTGCTACCTGGATAAGTACAAGTATCAAAAATTTGTTTTCTCAGTGTATCTCTGGGACGTGTCGTTCCAATTTGTCTCCCAACGGCGGCAACGTGTTCACTGAATCGTCAGTGTATTCCTGGAAAAAAATTACAGAGTAATTAAAAATGATTTGCACACCAGCGGGTAAGAAGGACACGCGCTCCTCTCCCAATCGAGGCTGTGCAACTTGCACTACGGTTTTATATGTTGGACGAGATACACGACATATCGCAGTAAAGTAAACGCGCAAAGTAAACACTGAAGTGAAGCAATGTACGCAGAAATGTACACTTTAGATTGTTACGTTGATAATCAATCATTTTATTGTGTACTGAACTCTCAAACACGGCGCGTCTGGTACTTCACGGTGCGTTAACAGAGCAATTTCTGTTTTCATTAGCGCAAAATTAAATACGTTATCGAAAGTGTTTACTTCTCTCCGTGAAAAGCCCGCACTTCTTTCCGTTCCAGTTGTTTGTCCGACACCGTTTTCCTTTAACGAGATATCTTGAAACAAGTCGGGGCCGCTTTTTATGAGGCCGTGTAAACGTTAAAATTCTCTCAAACGAGTTTTCGACATTATGCTGTCCGACTCGAATGCGCGTCTATTATTTACTCGCCGCCGTTTCTTTCTGTTTTATTTCATAATAATTGCTATGAGATGCGGGGACCGCTATCAGTGAAAGCGACGAAATTCTGTCAGAGATTTGTTAAAAACGACTTCGGTCGACCGCCTCTCTAATCAGGTCGTTGACTGTTGTCGCGATCCTTGAACGACGCGACCAACGTAGTGAAAGTCGCGTTAGCGCGTAACCTAACGAGTCCAACTAAAAAAAGCGCAAGTTGATCGGGAAATATCGGCTTACACGTGCGCGCGAATCGCCTCAACAGAATATAATTTCAAGTTATATATAATTTAAAGCACCCTTTAAATTGATATATACGGCTGTACACAAATTCTGCGACGGATGCGAGATCCCTGAAACTAATTGAGGAGTTGGATGCAATAACAGCGATTCTAAACGTAGAAATCCACAATGCAATATCTATATCTTGGAAAAGAAAAAAATTGTCTATTTCTTCGATTTGTAGTTACAGAATACCCAGATAACGCAGAGAATTCAAAAAGAATTCGAGAAGAATTCAGTCGTATGTTACCAATTCTGAGTTGATTTTCAGATGCAAAAAGAATTCTTCAGAGTTCAGTTCAGTGAAAAGAATTCTTTTTGCATCTAAACTCAAAATTGATGACATACGACTGAATTCATTTTGAATTTTCTGTGCTATCTGGGTCCTCGAATTCGTAAGCATTCCTCAAGATCAAATTTAAAATGAAAAAATTCTCCGAGCTCGATCGTAAAACTCCACTTTTTACATGTTGAAATATCGACCAATTGATATGCAAATATCAGTAACTCGTCTTCAGTCCTATTCTGAGATATTCACAGATTCTAAAACTTCCATAAAGTAAAAGTACTAATATCTGGACACTAATAACATTGATACCTAACTCTGGACATTCATAATGTTTTTATATATACTCATTAAATTTTTAAACTTCCAATATAAAATATACATGCATTTTATGTTGAAAATTTACAGGGTTGCTACAGAAAATTAATTTTGAGATTCCCTGATTTTTTCATGTTTTTTAGACGACAGTGAAGAATTTTCTATTACCAATATATAATTTTCAATTTTAACGTTTAGGAACAGGGACTACAGAAAAAGTAGCTTATATTATTAAAAATAAGACAAATTTAGTTTAGTAACATAATATTCCCAACATATATTCTTGAAAATGTACATTTAGGCTAACAAAAATTATATCAGTATTAGAGAAAAGAATGTAGTTATGTGATGGAAAAGAATGATTGAATGAAAAAACGCTGACAAGGAACATTCGCGAAGTGTCTGTCTCCGATTTCGATGAAACTTGGCATATTTATAGAATGGTCAAAAATAAGAGACTCATATTTTTTTTATCGGCAATATCTCAGATTTAAGGTGTGAAATTACCCCTCAAAGTTTTACGCCTTTTTTGCTATCTTTGTAACTATTGGAGATAGAAAAAAACTTTTTAGCCTATTTTATTTTTTATAAAAAACCGTATAACTTTTATCTAAAAAGTTTTTTTCTAGCTCCAATAGTTACAAAGATAGCAAAAAGGGCGTAAAACTTTGAGGAATAATTTCACACCTTAAATCTGAGATATTGCCGATAAAAAAATATGGGTCCCTTATTTTTGGCCATTCTATAAATATGCCAAGTTTCATCGAAATCGGAGACACACTTCGCGAATGTTCCTTGTGAGTAAAATATAAATTTTAATTATTTTGTTAACACACATTATGATGCATAGACTAGCATAGATGTATATATATTCAATATTATATAATTAAGAAAATCTTATTTATTTTTAAATAACATTTAAACTTCTATACTATGCCTATAAACTATAAAATGTTAAAATAAAAAAAAAATATAAACATATAATGAAAAATATAAAAATATAAACAACTTGACATATTAATAAAATCTCCAGTGACTCTAAATTTAGTAAATGTTTAGAGATTATGTATTCTTTTCTTATAACTCAGGGAAGGTTACTTTAGTTTTAAGGAATTATCAGGAAAAGCCAAAATTCCAGCTTATTTTATATTTTTCCCTGACAAATTCCGGTTTTCCATGGCAAATTTAAATTCCATGACTTTTCTCGGTTTTCTTTGTTTTTCAGGTCTGTAGCAACCCTGTTTTAAATATTCGTATTTAAGAACCAAAACAATAAGAATATTCAAAGTTAGGTACCAATGTTATCAGTGTCCAAGCACTGATACTTTTATCTTACACAGATAGAATATAGAGAATAGAGATTGACGATCCAATGATCACAGGAGTGAAGCTGAACGAAACGACAGCGTTCGGTCGGATTACGTTGTTAATCGCATCCAGCTTCTTCATTATGTGCACTGTGAGTTACTAATGCGCGTTATCGATCGTAATAGATGACGATGGTGCCGACGCCCGGGTCCATATGGGATTACACCTACGTGCCACCGATCGTGAATACGGTGTGCGGCATCGTCGCGGAGCCGCAGCGGAGTCCCTTCCCCTCGAGAAGCCGGATTCCTCAAGTACGCGTAATAACGCGGCCACATCTTCCTTTCACCTTCCGATTCTCGTTCGCTCGAGCGTTTATCGAGCGTTCCGTTTCAAAATTCCCGTTAGACTCCTCTCTCGCGCGGAAAATCCGCCCCGTTTTCATAGGAAAAGCAGGTAGCCAACATAACAACAAGGTAGCATTCGATGACAGATCCGCGGCTGAATCCGGAAACCGCAGACAGATGATAAATGTTATCTGGCAGATCACAACACACTCGCAGACTTACAACAGACGTCGTGTCTGTTTGTCAACTTTCAGTTGTGCCAGATCTTTCTTTCCTCGTGCGCAACGATATTATACGATAATATTCCTCATGCATACTCAACGAGGCTTAGGAATCTCTTTCAATCGAGGACCGATGACGCGAGCACATAGGATCTCGCTTTTTCCCGCATCGTATTCTCTGAAATAATCCGAGTGAGAATTCGTTACTGCGACGAGCACATCGAGTATTTACTAGGAGAATTATAAGGTTCATATAAATATTTGTTATTTAAAACTTGTCTCAGGTGAGATATTCGGATTTGAATATAGAGTTAGATGTGAATCCTTCAGCTGAATCTCCGTTACAAACATAGGCGAGTTTTTTAATTCATCGATGGATCCATCGATAAATTAAAAAACTCGACCATAACGTCGCATATATCAGATGATTCGAAGTAGAAAATTAAAATCTAAATCTCCCACGTGAGATAACCAGATCCGGATTTAGATTAAGAGTAATTAGTAGATTAAGAGTCATTCAAGTAATGACTATTAATACAGACTTAAAGGCAGTGTAACGATCGGCAATCTCTTACAGGTGGATCCGCCGTCGAGGTTCGAGCCGAGTAAGACGACGGAGATGCGCCACCACGTCGGCGAGACCGAGCTGAGCGAGGTGCAAGTGATCGCGACGTTGCCCACAAATAACGTCACTATGTCCACGTCGCCGTCGGCGACGACGTCGCCGTACACCGGCGAGCTCTCCTGCAGAAACGGCAGCTGCAAGGCTCAGAGGAGCCGCGTCGAGCCGCGACTCGAAAGTCCTTGGCACAGACTCAAGACCGTCTTCCTGGTGTCCGTGATCGTGGCGTTCCTGCTTTGGGTCATAGTGTACACCTTGCTGGACCAGTATCAGATCCTGTGACCTCCAGTCGACGTGGCTTCGCGCGACACGCTTCATCAGCGTGTGACGGTCGCCGCGCAGGTCCTGCGGTTCTGTAATCCTGGATCCTTCGTGCTCTCCGTCATCGCGACCGTCGCTATAAGAATCCCGCGACGAACGTGGTTGCGTGTTTCCCGTGACAACGACTGACGATCATCTCTGGCACGAATTCTTGTCTCACTCGCGCGCAGGAATAATTTTTTCCTCGCGCGAGGAAGAAATGACGACACACGATGAAGAATCTTTTGGTGATTTCGCGTCCAGTGCTTCCGAGAAGTCCCCGCGCCGAGGATTGTCACTGTTAAATCGTGCAAATCCAACATGGCGGTGTATTACATCCGGCTCGCAATGTTTTTTTTTCTTATCGGCAAGAAGCAACAAGTCCGAAGTTCAGGAAGAATATAATCGGAGGGAGACTCGGAGGGACACTTTCCATCGGCCGGAAACGCCTCTGTAAATTGGATTGTAATATTGTATATTTCATATTGTTTTAAAGATTTGCGGCGTCTGTAAATATTCGAGTAAAATACGGTTGTTATACGTAATACATGTAGATTAACCCTTTACTGCCTATACAGGTTCCAAACGAAGTTTGTAGTCGCTGTTAAAAAATTAAAAAATGCTGCAAATTTTTTACACCGAGTTACGAATAATACTGAAGATTCTTAATATTTAGAAATTGCGCTGTGTATGTGTGTATATATGTGTGTGTGTGTGTGTGTGTATGTGTGTTCTTTATTAATTCTATAAAACGTCAGTTCAATCAAAAAATTCGTTCGTCTTCCTCCAGCACGACGCTTACGCTAATCCAACAAAGAGGAAAAGAACAGAAACGAACTTTTTGATCAATACAGATCAATGGTGCTCCATGGTTTTTTTTGGCAAAGATTGTAACAGGCGAGAGTTAGAACGACTGCGACGGGGAGAGAGAAGAGAATGGATTTGAGTGACTTTTTAATCGATCGTGTACCGCAATAAAAAGCTGTGCAACGTGTCCTTCGATTTTATCGGTAATTTTGGTAACCATAAAGAGACCGTGAGGGCCGCTAAAGACCTTCTCCCTTTGCTGCGACACGTTCAAATTATTTACAATCACATATACTTTAGAGAGCGTTAATGTGTCAAACACGCTCTCTTCTCCCCCGGGAAGCCGCAGTGTGAAATTGTCGTCGGTAAAAAATATATCTGACTGCGCACGATCGGACATGTATCTTGCGAAACAACAACACGATGACAATGGCGATAATAATAATGACGACGATGATGACGATGATTACTTTGGCGTGTCGCGGTCCGCGGCGGTTGGCGCGGTCGGAAGCGACGTCGTTGTCGAAGACGAGCAGCAGGTCGGAATGACCGACGACCAGCCGACTGGCACGCGGGATCGAGAAACGCAGATGCGACAGCAACTTCAGAGCGTGTCGAGATCAGCGCGAGACGACGAGGAGCCGGACGATGACGACGACGACGACGATGACGACGACGTGATCGTCTATTCCTCGTGTGCTATTTTATCGGGCCATCGCATCGGCGTTGTACATCGACCACGCGTTTCGTATTTCAGTTCACCGCGGTGGCGAGCGACGGAGGTGCGACGTCGCGGGTGATTGTGATCGGCTGGGACGGCTTTCGCTCGAGACTGATGCTCTTCCTGATTGCGTGCCTTATCATTTGGGCCTGCGTCTTCTTTCCTCTGCTCGACACTTGAAGCGTCACGACGAGTACAACGACATCGAGGACTTAATACCGATAATACCGATTATTCGATTACGACGATATCAATTACGTTCGCACATACTTTCTCGCGTTTACATGTATGTATTGATATATATTATATATATATATACGCGTCCAATAATAATTATAACTTTACATTTTTGGTATATTAAATATTTACACGCTGTATGTGTAGTCATAAATATAATCATTTACGTAATTTTTCGACAGTGGTTTTCATAGAGAACAGAGATTGCAAGAAACTTGAACAGACAGTGTCTCTTCTCTCTCTCTCTTTTTTTTTTCTTCCTTTTGTTGCGGGCGCCTGCTCTAGCGACGTTTCTCCGACGTTTCTACACGAACTCCGTCTGATCATCTAATCCCCTCAGGATTAGTCACAATTATCAGATTAATCGATAACACAACCCGCAACGAGTATTCTGGTTAACTCCGTTAACGATGTTTATCTTGGATCAACGGAAAGTATCACTTACGATAATCAAGCAGCGAGTTGATGTGATTTCGTAAACGTGCTATTTATTCAAGCTACGAAATCCCATCAACGGGCAACCATTGAGATTATTACACGCGATGTTTTTCTTCTTTCAACAAGATAACGTTATAATCTATCGTTAACGTGGCACAGAATACCGTTGGAAGCTGGGGATCGTCGCGCGTGCGCGATTTCTCCGTTCGATTATCATACTTCTTCTTACTTATGGAACACTTTCGTTGTAGCATATTATATACGTACGCCGTTATTTACAAGGAAACATAACTTACGGAGTAAACGTCTCGGCCGTGAGCGTTCGTTCTCGCGGACGAGGATAATATTGAGTAATGTCTTACGGTCTCATTAGCCGCTACTGCAACGGAGTCTTACGTGAACGATTCGGTTAGTGCACGACAGTAACGACGATCGTAATATATCTAATCGATGATGGCTTAGAATTATCACTAATTTGGCATGTAACAACCTCGTAACGATGTGTTCGTGTTTGTATCGTAAGCGCGCCGCGATTCAAAGAGCTCCCCTGCGAAATACGTGATATTTACAAAAATCTATCGAATTCTGTATTTCTTGGTGGGACGTGCGTCGTCCGTACGCGACAGTGAAAAGTTTTGCCGAGAAGACGTCTACGAGTCGTATCTTTGGTCGACATATATCGGCCCGAAAAAAAATATACTGAAATTTAAAATACGTAACAATTTCCCGAAAAGTCTCAATTTTTCCAACATATACAATTTTATCGAAATATTGAAAGAATATATAATTTTATTTAATAATAATAATATAATTTTTTCCGAAAATCATATCAACGAATGTTTCGAAAAAGCTGTATTTTTTGGGAAAATTGTTTTTCTGAAGATTGCCCCGGTATTCGGATTTCGGTATTATTATGATTATGACTTCTCTCAGAAGATGGCTTCAATATCCGAACTTTGAGCTTTCGATTTTTCGGGACAATGCATATCCACCATATCTCTAGCGTGGAGTAAATACACAACAGTGCGACGTGATCGGCGATAAACGTGAGCGAAAAGAAAACGCGATGCCTGTGGAAATAAAACCGAATCGTCTGAGCGCGCGCGAGAAAGACGAATTAAAATAACATCGGAGGGGCCAGTAAATGCATTTGGAATGCCACGATATATATTGTCTGTTACCCGAGTAACCAAAAGCACGTGTTCGCGGAATTAATGTTTAAAAAAGAGGAGATAACAAATCCGCGTTCTCGCCGTCGCGCAACGTAATCGACTGTCCTTGTCGTGTATACGACGAAATTAAACGCCGGTATTGCCGACAATAATCGCAGGCAGCGCCGAGACGTATGAAAATTCTTCTACTGTACGCATTAAGACGGCGAGCGGCGAATACTTGGAGTTTACGATAATACGGCACAAAAATAAATAGATTTCCGAATATGTATATATTAATTAACATTATCGACGTAGGCGATTTCACGCGAAGAAGATTAGCTGCCGATTGCCTGGCGGCTCGTTGAGATTGATGACACTCCCTTACGTGAAGATTAAACTAAAGGTCGCTTATATTCGCGGCTTGTACGTGAGAGTGACGTGAAACGTCTGCACGTCCATCTCGGTGCAATCCTGCGGACCGATGGTGCCGTCGCCGCCTTGGCTGCTAGCGGTGGTGCACGCGTGTTCTCTGACGGGCCGCTCCTCGATGATATCGCGGCTGCTGTCCAGGATCTTCTTCTCGACCGGCTGCTCTACCGTTACTACTCGCACGATCTTCGTCTTCATCGTCTCCAAGGAGCGCGACTTGCACGTCGCCTCCGCTACGCGCGTCTTCGCGCCGTTCTCCTTGTTGCGACGAGACGAACTGCGGTGCAGACGTTGCTTCTCCCTGGAGGACGTTCTCCGTAGACTCGGCCGCTTCACGGACTCCGCGCTGGCGCTTAGACCCGTGGCTAAAAAACGAGACCATTGTGACCGCGGCTCGAAGAGTCAGACTAGGACGGCACGCGTATTTTTTATTTATTTATTTATTCCGTCGTTTTCGCGCTTACCGATGTTGCCGGAGGAGGAGCGGTTGGAACCACGCAGAACGTGTATCGCCGTGGGGTCGCTGTCCGTTGCCGTCAGTCTTTCTCCGACCGGCGTGAGAAACCACTCGGATCGAGTGCGCATTCGCGCGGCTTGCCTCTCGTGAACCTGCAGATTGAATGAATAAATGGATGAATGAGTGAATGAATCACTTATTAAGTGTCTCGAAATTGCGTTCCTTTGACCATTGAACGTGTTACAGCTTCATGACAGGAAGAAAACAAGAAGCTAACAATCTAAGAATTAATTCCAATTAAATAATCAAAGATTTGAATTTGAAAAGAATTTCAGATTATCGCCGAGGATTAATAGCCGATCGCGTATCCACTTAGCGACCTCAAAGTAAAGACACTATAGCGCAAGTCTTTACAAAGTAAAGACGCTGTAGCGCAAGTTTTGTATAACAATTTCTAAAATTCTACAGCAAGATATCCGGAAGACCATACATTTCTGTAAGTATTGTTCAATACTGTTGATGCTGTTTATTTATCTTTGGATCTGTTATTTCTTTAAATTAGTTCTAAAGTCTCTGGTACGAGCCGCCACTTTCCTTAACGAGAAATTGAGATAATGATAGCTATCAAAATGATAGCATTTTTTCCATCATTTGCACGAATGTTTTACACGAGATGAAGTTATAAATGTGTTAATTGAAATCCCTAGTCATCATACGCAATCATCGCGGCGATGTTTATGAGTCAACGTCATCCGACTGGTCACACTTAACCGTGGGGTGAGGAAAAGAGAAGCAACCTTACCTGCGGCAGATAGCTGAGACTCTTGGTGCTCTCAGCGTAGCGATTCACCGCGCGAAGCTCATCTAACGTCATTCCCGCGTGTCTAGAATGATGGCTGCCGTTGCTGGACGACCGACTGGATGCCTGTAAGAAGCGGGTCCGCGGTTGCTTCAATGGTCTTCGTATTAACGTACACGATGTACCGCAATCGCAGTTTCATTTGACTTTCGTAAACAGTTACCTGGAACAGGCCGTTCTCCTCTAAACTAACCGAAAGACGCGTGTAACTCTCGAGCAAGGTGTTCTCGGGAATCATGCCTAACGACGAAGTGAGATCCAAGGATTCTGGCATGTGAATTAGCGCCGGGGTTGACTGCGATTCCTCCTGATGCGACATACCTTCGCATACATTAACAACCGTTACGATAATTCCACAAAGTGATTGTCAAATAGAGCATTTGGTTACCAGATACATTCTAAATTACTTTAAATTACCCACTTACATTCTAAATTAAATTTCAGTCCCCATCTCTCGCACTCGTATTGCAACCACGTTTTCTCGGCTTCCAACGACAGCTGTCCTAAAAGTTCGCAAGAATTACGGTATACTTGTGATTTTACCGTAACAATATCGTGCGACAATACAGGATATATATATCGATACTTACTCGACACGAGAGTATCTGGTGGATATCGAAAACTGAAGATCCAGTCCTCCTCCACTTTCAATATTCTACCGGTGATGCGCGCGTAAAATTCGTAGTTGTCTCTGCCGAAAAGATTCGATACGCCGAAATTGTCTATCATGAACTTGGTGACGCGCGTGGCAACCTGAGAATAAAATGCGAGTGTTATTGACGAGCTTCAACTAACTAAACGAAAGGACACAATTGTTTAACGACAACACAATCTGTACAAAGTAGAGATATCGCTGTTCACCTTAAATCTGAGGACATCTTCCATCTTGGCGGTTTTGCCGTCGCTCACGCAGCTCTGAAAAAACGACGGTGCCACGGATACCCCCAGGGCTTCGCTGGACATCCCCGTGTGCGCTCGTTCGCTATTTACCGCTACTACCCTGAATGTCCCGAACAGCAGCACCAGCAGTCGTTGCGTGTATATCGGCAAGGAGGTAATTAATCTGCGAAACGAATTTCCTGATAGAGTTACGACGGACCGGCTTTTGTGCGCGAATAATAACGGGAACATTGCTGCGAGAATTACTTGTGTATCTGGTCCCGTTGTTGTTCTATGCTATCCAGTTGAATTACGGTGAACAATTGTTGCTCCCCTTCCCTCCCGAATACACCACCCGGTATTTTGCGTAGAAATTTCTTCAGAACACTAGCTATCGTGTAAACGCTAAAATTGTCCATATTGACCAAGTGTCCGGTTTGCAGAAAGTGAATGAGTTTCTTCATGTTACCCTGGTGACCAGGCGCTCGGAAAACATCTTTCCTGAGTGGAGCTTCCTTGTTTAATTTTAATATAAGGACCTAAAACGAAAAGGAATGACTGTGATCGTCTCGTGTGTTTTAAACGCTTTTGCCGATGGGGAAAAGCGTTCAATCTACTTACCAATAAAGGCCCGGGAATATCGTTCTTGCATACTTCGTCGAGGGGTACCCCAAATTTGACTCTATGAAAAGAAAAGCAGATTCACATACGTTACTCGTACGACTAACACGATGTTTGCGTTTGTATTGCGACTCCAAAGACGACAGTGAGAAAATGCGTGAACTTTCGGACACAATTTGGACCAAGGTTGACTTTGTCTAAAATGCGGGACAGTCTCGGTGTGTTGAATTAAAGACTTCATGGTGAAGCTGACAGTGCGTTTTTTCTGCTTGTTATACAAAACTTGCGCTACAGCGTCTCTACTCTGAGGTCGCTACTTGGATACGGTTGCGCGATCGGCAATTAATGCAATTCTGAGATATCAACACATATTAGTAACACGAGACATGTAATTCTTCTCAAGCTGCCATTACTTACAATTCTACACGCTCCTCCTCAGAGCATCAAACATAAATGCAGAATGTCGAATATCTGTTCGACATATCGTTAAATATCAATTATCATATCTGTGAAAAAATTCAAGTTCTTTATTATCTTAGTTTACTTTTAGACAGCAATACATATTTGCAGTTTTTTTTCCACGTAATATAATCTGTTAATTATGACAAATCACCGCTGTTAGGAATTGCTTTTCTAATTTGTGTGAAAACCATTCGAGATACACTTAGATATGTTTATATCTAATACATTGAGTAACACTTATTAGATATAAAATTGATGATTTGTTTCCTTTATTATTAGTTGAAAATGCATGTTGTCATTATATTTCAAATTACAAATTTCCAAAGATCTGTATATATATTTCAGTTTGCACTGCATGCACATGTAGATTTATATATGTACATGACAGGTGTACAAACATGAGAATTGCCATCAGCCGTTTTTTCTTGGAATTATTTATGTGTTATTACTGTCTCCAGCAACAGAACATGCCAGTATATTTTATACATGTCCAAGAAAACCATATAACCATGCAATGTTTCTGATAATGTCATTAAATGAAACATATTCTCACGAATCAAATTAATTAAAGCACAGAATAGAGAGAATGAGTGCATCATTCTCAAGCAATATACTGACTTTTCAAGGCGTCTTGGGTATGGTGGCACCGAGGAGGGATGTCCACAGCTGGTTACAACATTTCCTAAAGTAGCAGCGCGTCGATGCATTCTCTCGGTCCAGCTGCTCATTGTACGAAATATAAGGATGGCAACGTCATGCGAACACTAACACTTCAGCTTTCACTCTATCGTTATCCTCGAGTGGACGTCACATGTGCTCTTTAAACTCTGGGATTTCTGTGCTTACTAATTGGGCTGAAAGCAGAACACACATTTTGCATCAGTATTTTTTCTCAATTTGTCCAGAAGCAAAGTTTTCAGTATTGTTCTCGCGTCGTGCAAAAGCGCTGTGCAGCAGCTCAAGATTTTATTTCAGTGTACCCGTCAACGGGGCAAATCCCTCCGCGGTAACTTTGCACCCACCTCCACATTTATTCACAATAAACGAATCGACCATTGATCTCTGGTCGACGCTGTCGCGAAGATCGACTCTCAAGTCAACGAATCACAAAGGTAAAAAAAATCGTGGGGAAGTCTCACCGGGTTGGTAAGGACGATGACGGTCGGATCCCGTGGACGCGATCGCTACGGCGGAATGCGATCCGTGAATAACCTAACCGCACGGACCAGTGCGGAGCAACATCGCGTAGCAACGCCGGGCGCGGCAAGTGCTCCCGCGTATACCGCGTCTACGTTTCCATGGAAATGTCGCGGCCCCGGAGTCGGGGCGTCGACATCTCGCCACGCACTCAGCGTCACACAACGTCGACAGCAGCGTGCGCACGGCCGCGCCAGGAGATTAGCATTTTCTCACGTAACCACGGCCACACCACCTCCCGTAATCAAAGCAAAAAATCAATATGGCTGCGCTGCTGTTGATAGAGCAGGCGGTGTTAGGAATATGATCCATTAAATGATTCAATTCTTTGAAACATCATATGGACCAATCAAGGCTTTTCCTTGAACGCTTCCAAGCATTTGTAGCGTCTAATGGATGGCAACCTACGATCGATGAATCGATGTTCGATTCCTCCTTCGAGGATCGATTATTTTGGCCCATTTTCTGGGGGTTGATTGTGTATCTCAAAACGAAGTGAAAATGGCCGCGTTCAGTAGAACAAGTGATCAGTAAGCGCTCAGGGAGCTTTTGTATATGATTTGGCATATTCTTTTAGATCTTCAACTATATTCCAATCAGATGCAAGAGCTCACTGAGCGCTTACTGATCACTTGTTCTACTGAACGCGGCCATTGACAAAAGTGATCAAATTTACTAGAATATTTGTAACTTCATTGGTTAGTGCCTAGTGAATTTGCTCACTTTTGTAATTTTCACTCCATTTCACAATCACACACAATCAACCCCTTGAACCCTCTTTTATCGATAAAAGTGCCTTGAATATAGCTCTCAGCCAATCAGGTGGTTCCTAAGCCTCTTTTAAGCCCGTATCAAACTACCAACTGCACAGGCCAACCCGACTGCCGACTACACTGTCGACTCTCAATGGACCAATCACAGTGAGGCGCTAACTCGGCGCCTCACTGTGATTGGTCCATTGAGAATGGCAATCGTAGTCGGTAGTCGGGTTGGCCTGT